TAAATGTTGCTCACTATTCTGGGTAATTTGCTTGGTTTAGGTCACTGGTGGGCAACCTGGGCCACAAGGGCTACACGTGGCCCTTTGGGATTCTACATGTGGCCCACGAAGCTTTGTGTTTACCAATGCCCAGGCACAAGATGCCAGATTCTGCTGGGTTTGGTCCATGCCGGTTTTTTCCCCTATTACAAAAGTGACATGCACTTAAACCAACGGTACTTGAAGGGAGGTGCCTGCTGATTGCTGAGAGCCATGCGCTCCCTCTGTATCCCATCAAAGCACTGCTCCAACCAAATCGGCACACCTGCAAGTTCTAAGTACGCAGGCCTGGTGAGCAAAACTATCCCGGGAGACCATCTTTTTTATGACAATCTTGCGGCCCACTGAGATGAAGGAGGGCCACTCACTTGGCTAGATTGCCTCTCGCTGGTTTAAGTAGATTGTTTTGTAAATAAGGTTTTAAACGAAATAAATCCCTGAATACAAAACCCAATGGGTCTTTCTTCCGACTCTTTGATTTGCTTTTAGAATCAGTTGAGGCATGGGAGTGACAGTCTCAGTTGGATGCTGATGATTTTGCCTTGGTGATTTATCTAGCCCATGAGTTAACATGTCATGATGTTTGCTAGCAATCATTACCTGTCTTCTGTAGGACAAAATGATTTCCTGCACTCTTTTAGCTGCGTGATTAGAGCTGCAAAATTCCATTAGTCATTGCACATACTGTAGTAGGATAATCCTAAGAGAAGATAAGGACTCAAATGTTCAGACAGCTCTGTTATATCTATAACCAGGGAAGAGTTGCTAAATTAAGTTTTCTGAATGCTAAAGAGAGCATGTGGGTTAGATCCTCAGCTAGCGTAAATGCTAAGCTACACGAATCTGGCCTCCTGTGTTTGTTTTTCCCTCAGAGTTCGGCTTTGTCTGGACTTCTAGGCTATGTCTACAATAGAAGGTTTTTGTGAAAAAACGGCTGGTTTTTTTGCAAAAACCAATGGGAGCATCCACACCTCAAGCACGTTTTGCATTAAAAAAAAAATGCAGGACAGAGGGCTTTTGCCGGTAGAGTTATTCCTCTCTCTATGAGGCAGAACTCCTTTTTGCACTACAGCTCTTGTGCAAAAAGGCAGGTGTGGATGCTTCGCAGAGGTCTCTTGCGCAAAAAGAGCCTATCAGAAGAAGCACAGGTGCTCTGATGGCCATTCTGTGAACAGCCATCAGAGCGATCTTGCTCAAGAGCGTCCATGCAGCGTGGACACTCTCTTGCACAAAAGCACATCACTTTTGTGATGCGCTTTTGAGGTGTGGCCGCACTTTTGCGCCAGAAGTTTTTGCGGAAGATCTCTTCCGCAAAAAGCTTCTTGTGCAAAAACCCTGCAGTGTAGACAGAGTCCCAAGTTTAAAGTGCTATTGCAGCAGCACTTTAATGCAGCAGTGTGGTCACGGTACCAGAGCTGGGAGAGAGATCTCCTGGTGCTCTAGATCAGTGTTTCTCAACCAGTGGTACGAGTACCTTTAGAGAGAAGTCTGGGGGGTACGTCAACACAACTGAAATTTGGAGAAAATGGAATGTTTGTTTTAAGTTTTACAGTGTTTTATTATTTTTGTACTTTTTACACCCAAATATTTCATCACCCGCTGGGCTACGATTAAGTTGTTTAAACAAATGTGTTGCAATGGTAGAAAAAAAAATGTGTCTGAAAGGGTTTTATAAAAAAAAAAAAAGGTTGAGAAACACCGCTCTAGATAAACTATCTCCGCGAAGGGAGTACATCTGCCTACACGGGTGCTTTACAGTGCTCTAACTTGCTGTGCTCAGAGGTGTGTGTGTGTTTTGTCACATTCCTGAGCAAGGAAGTTATAGTGCAATAATTTCCCAGTGTAGACAAGCCCTCAGAGGCACACAGCAGAGCCAACAGCTTCTGAGGATCTCAGGGTAAGAGGGGGAGAGCCCAGTTCTGTGCTCCTACAAGGGGTGGGGCCAAGGGTGGAAGGGGCGGGGCCAAGGGTAACCAGCCCTCAGCACTTGCCCGGAGCTCACCCTTAGCCTTTAGCACTGCCCAAAACACAGTGCACCCCCCCACACACACTCCACCCCTTAGCACTGCCTGGCGCTCACGGCCCAGCACTCCAGCAGCGGTTTAAAGGGTTACCACCACTACTCCTTCAAATCCCTTCCTGCCCCCCACCGGCTGGTCTGGAGGCACAATATCCCAGCTTCCAAGTGTGACTACTTTCATGTTCCCATGCAAAATACCGAGGACCAGAACTGACAGTAGCCTCATGACGAAGAGGCATTTTCACTTCAGATGTCTTAGGTTCAGATGTACTGTTGGTCAGACCGGTGAACTACGACAATGCCACGGAGTCATAGACTTTAAGGCCAGAAGGGTTTGTCACAATTATCTAGTCTGGCCTCTTGCACATGGCAAGCCGCAAAATTCCCACCGACTCCTGTAACAAACCCATAACCTCTAGCTGAGTTACCGAAGTCCTCAAATCGCAACGTAAATTCTTCAAGTGACAGAGGATCCAACATTTAAACTAGACCTGCAAGTGATTCGTACCACAGTGAGCTCTGCTTAGTGACCGCAGCACATTTGCACCGGTGTTTGGTTTTTCATAGATTTCAAGACCAGAAAGGACAGTTTGTATTGACTTGCTGCACGACAACCCGTGATCCCTGTCACTGAGCCCAACAACTTGTGGCACAACAAGAGTGTATCTTTTAGAAAGTCATTCAGTCTTGACTTAAAGACTCCACCTTTTTCTGAAAGGAGGTGCATTAGCAGGAAACCAAGACAAAAGCCAGGAGATCTAGGATCTGGCGTTGCGACGGCAGGAAACAAACGCTGATGGGACCCGCCCTTTCTTCAGCAAATGCCTGACCTGCCACAAATATAAAGACTTAAAATACGTCATGTGCACTTGTGGATGGATGCGTATGTGGCAGATGCATGAGCCCACAGTCAATTAGAATTAGTTCCAGGAGACTTTTCACATAACCTAATCTTCTGTCAGCATTTGTTCTCATCAAACAAGAGTTATGACAGTTTTCTAAGATCTTCAGAGCATCCATTAATACTGCTGTTATGCTCCCTGGGTCTGGAATTGCCAAATTAGGCATATGCTCTTTATGTGCACCCATGGTACACTGGAGACCCAAAGTCGCAATAACAAAGGAGTGCCTTCCTGGCATAATAGCTAGTTCTATTCACTCGGGAATGGAGACAGGCTTTCTTCACCTCCTACAACTATTGGGGGAAATGTGTGGCTGTGTCTAGACTGCCAGCTGTCTACACTGGCCGCTTGAATTTCTGCAAAAGCACTAACGATCTCATGTAAGATTGTCAGTGCTTTTGCGGAAATACTATGCGGCTCCCGTTCGGGCAAAAGTCTTTTTCCGAAAATCTTGCGCAAAAGGGCCAGTATAGACAGCAGAGATTTGTTTTCCACAAAAAAGCCCCGATCACGAAAATGGCGATTGGGGCTTTTTTGCAGAAAAGCACGTCTAGATTGGCCACAGACGCTTTTCCGCAAAATGTGCTTTTGCGGAAAAGCATCCTGCCAATCTAGACACTTTTTTCCGAAAATGCTTTTAACAGAAAACTTTTCCGTTAAAAGCATTTCCAGAAAATCATGCCAGTCTCGACGTAGCCTGTGTGTGTGTGTTAGAGAGAGAGGGGATAGTGTCTTGTGGTAACCCCCATTGATTTCAATAGACCACGGATCAAGATCTAAGGGTATGTCTACACTTGCACCTTCTTTTGAGAGAGGGATGCAAATGAAGACATTCAAAATTGCAAATGAAGCCAGGATTTAAATATCCTGTGCTTCATTTGCATATTTGTGTTATGGCGCTTTTTCGAAATAGCGCTATTTTGAAATAACAGACGCTATTAAGACGTGGTTATTTCAAGAGAAAACCCTTCTCTCGAAATAACCCTTATTCCTCATACAATGAGGTTTACCAGTTATTTTGAGAGAGGGGTTTTCTCTCAAAATAACCACGTCTTAACAGTGTTTGTTATTTTGGAATAGCGCCATAACGCGAATATGCAAACAAAGCGCGGGATATTTAAATCCTGGCTTCATTTGCAATTTCGAATGTCTGCATTTGCATCCCTCTCTCGAAACATACCCTAACTCTGGGAAGCCACTGCTGCAAGATTGTTCTTTATTCCGGCTGGAAACAACTATGACAACAGCGGAGTTGGAAGTCTCTCTACTCCTTGTGGAGTGGTGACAGTTTCTCTCCTCCTCCCCTGCTCCCATAGAACAAAGGTGGAAGGGGATGGGAGAGTTCCATTGGAATGCTGCATTTAGAATGCTAAGACTTTCAAAAGTGATTAGTGATTTAGAGTGACATTCCTAAAGGAAAAAACAGGATTATGTAGCACTTTAAAGACTAATAAACCATCTTGTTAGACTTTAAAGTGCTACATACTCCTGTTTTTTGTTTCATCTAGACTAGACTAACATGGCTACAGCTCTATTACTATTCCTTAAAGGAGCCTGATTTCCAGAGGGTAGTTGCTCAGCATTGACTGAAAATCAGGGCCCTTTAAAAGGTCTCAAGTTGAAACCCTGCAGATAGAAGTACCCCAAATCAACAGTCACTTTTGAAAATCTGGGTCTTAAAGCCTAGCTGATGGGTGGTAATTGCCAGGGATCTGGAGGATCAGCCTAGTGGACCACTCCACCAAAATTCCCTCTAATTTTTCCCTTCATGTGCAGAATAAGTTTTATTATGTGCACCAAGTCATGGTTAGATGTGCACCACCAGAACAAACACATACTGCTAGCTGTGGGCACTCTGCTAATCAGCAGAGCAGCATTTGAACCTCTCGTGGGTAGCCGCCCAAGCAGTCAGCATATAGGGAACACTGCACTCCACTCAGAATTGAATGAAAATCCATTGTTTCAGAGCCTTTCAATCTGGGAATTTTAGCAGTGAAATTTCACTTTAACCAGATTCTTTCTATATCGATGCATAATGTCTATGTTTCATAGGCAGGTAAAATTATAAAGTAGAAAGCATCTGTAATGTTTACCCGATCACCAGCCTTTCCTGACTGCGCCATGTGAATTGCCTGGTCGTTGTCTAAGTTTCGAACGCTTGGGTCTGCCCCATGGTCCAGAAGCAATTTGATAATTTCTTCCTGGTTTTTGTCGTGATGAAGAGCAGCTGCCATGTGCAAAGCTGTGTTACCATGAGCCTAGCACAGAGAAAAAAGAAAACACCTGGTAAGTCTGTTGTTTGGTTGTACCTTACATGTCCCTGCAAAAATATTTCCAGTTTCATAAAGGTACAAAAAAATGGAAAACTGTCAATTAGAGATGAAGAGGGCAGAGAATATTGGTTATCGTCAGGTATTCCCCCTTATCCACTAATTATATATGCGAACCAAAACACCACAGCTCAACAGGCCAGCTACGAAGCAGGACTCCGGCGGGAACCCTCCCAGCTGGTGGCTTTTGATACTTTGAGAACAGATACCTGATGGCAACAGACACCAGCAAAAGACACTGGACTAACTATGTGCCCGACAAGCCTGCAAACTTCTGCAGAACTGTCTTTTTGGCCAGATTAGCTGTTTACAAAAAGAGAAGGGTTTGTTCATATAAAGTGTTTTGTAGAAGGAAGCTGACTGGCTAAAGAAAAGTCATTTATCAAGAAACTCATTTTATGTAGACAAACTAAAATCTGGTGCCATGTGGATGCCCTGCATACAATTATGCTATCATTGTGCTTGTAGCATTCGTGGGCAGTAGCATAACAAAATAATGAGTCCGATTTCCATTTGCACTAACTCCTCTCCCCAGGGTGTTGACTTGCACATTAAAAGCCTCCATCGGAAGAATGTAAAAGGGCTGTGATGTAAGTGAGGATCAGGAACAATATTTAATAGGTTCTATTTGTGGCTAAAAACGTTGATCTGTCCACTGGGCCTTTCCAGTTTCAAGAAAAAGCAAGTCATAGGCTAGCCACTGGTTACTGCTAGTGCTCTTCCAAGTTCCGTAACACTGAGCAAATATCCTTAGCGGAGCTTACTGCAAAACTTTCAAATAAAAAGTGATCCATCTGGAAAGTGGCCCGTTTTCAAAGGGTTATGTCTGACCCTGTATCTCTATGTAACATTAAGAATGTATGGGGCTTAGGTACTGCAGCAATGGAACAATATCACACTTGTTTTCGGCCCCGACTCTGGAAAGCACGCTCTTCACTTAAGCATGCACTTAATTTTAAGCATTTGCTTAAGCCCCATGAAAAGCAATGGAATTTAGGAACAAGAGCTTTCTTGAATTGGACCCTTCAACATAAGCATTCTTAAAAATAAAAATAAAATAGTAATTCCTTGCCAGTTATTTAAATGGATTTTCCTGAAAAATGAAAGTAATTCCTTGCTGGGTTGGTAGCTGTCATGAGGATGAGTTTTGTAACAGGAGTGGAACTTCATCAGTTACCTAACAAGACAGGACAAGATGTGTAACACTGCATAGCCAGAAGAGAAATGTTAGTGTGACATTTAAAGGGTTAATAAAAAACTACATATGGCCAGGGATTGATTTATTTAAGATTCTACGATACTGTTAATAGGCTTAACTAGTCACATAACTTTTATTTTTCAAATCATGTAATCATGACAGGTGGCGGTTTGTTGAGCTTTGTATTATCATTTTCCCTGTTTATGCTTCTAATTCATTTCCCTCTGTTCTATTTATTAATTGCTGAAACAATAAATAATCATACTTAGCTCTGATTCCTTAATACGCAATTGCAAGTTATTTCATGAGCCCATTTAGAAATTTCAAGGTAATGAAATTGAAAAAAAACCAACCACTGGCTATACATTATAACTGATTTTAGAATGAATAGTTAATATTTTTTGTTCCATTTGAACCAGTGATGCAGAAGATACTTGGAAACACTCTTCTAAGTAGCAAACAAATGTGAAATTCTTAAAAGTTTTTCTTAGGGAAACTAGGTGTTTTTACAAGCTCTGAATCACCAGATCTGTTGTGTCAACTTTACCAACCTATAAAACAAAATGATTGCTCCTTAGCTATTTATCTGGTTTTTCCTGAAAAATGAAACATCTCTATTTCTATGCTGTAACTTTGACTACAATCTTGAGGCAAAAACATTGGTATCTTCAGAAACTAAGTATTAAGTCAGGCAAATAAGCATCTTAATCTTCTAAAGCCTGAGCTAACTCTCACTGGAGCCTTTGCATTTGCTGTAATGGAAAGTTGGATGAGGGACATTATACGCCAAACGATGCCCACTCCTGAAGGGGCAAAAGGGATAAAGAACACAGGGAGCCTTCTCTCATATTGCACAAGGGCCTGATCTTATGGATTTATGGAGCCAGCATTCCTCTTCACTTCAATGTGTGCACAGGAGACTGGAGACTCTAATGCACAGGTTCCCAAACGGGGGAGCGCCCCTCTGAGGAGGTATGAAGAAATTCCAGGGTTTGTGTGAAATGACCTAGCCCCCCCTTCAATCCCTTCCTCCCCCAAGAAAGAGCCCTTGTCCATCCAGTAAAAAAATTCAGAAAATACTATGTGAAATTTCCGGTATTTTCTGTTTTTCCTAGCTTGGGCATCCGCCGGAACACGGACAGCTCGGTCTGGCTGGGTGGGGGGAACGATGGAGCCATCCCGGGCAGACTTCAAAATGGCCACCTTAAAAGGGCAATGCCTGATCGCTTAAAAGGCCAACTTTTTTTTTTTTGCTCTTTTTTGTTTTTGTTTTTGTTTTGCTCAAGACGTTTTGCTGCTTTTTCTGCGAGTGGGGGGGGGCATGAGCATTTCTCATAAATCAAAAAGGGGGCATGATGCTGAAAAGTTTGGGAACCACTGCTCTAATGCCAGCTGTTGCACTAGATTTCCCCCATGAAGTGAGGTGGGCTGGGAGGAGGCAGGATGATACCCCACAACACTCCTCACATCTTTGCATTAGCAGGGCTGCTGTCGAGTGCAAGAACTTGTTATACCTTGTAACAAGATGCACCAGGAATTGGTGCCATGTGCCCTTCCCCCAGCATTCCCAGAGGCATTCCATTAGCTCTCCTAGGGTATGTGTAAACTACATGGCTCCATCTAAAGCCTGCTAAACCCAGGGTTGTGAGTTCAATCCTTGAGAAGGCCATTTAGGGATCTGGGGCCAAATCTGTCAGTGATGGTACTTGGTCCTGCTGTGAAGACAGGGGAGTGGACTCAATGACCTTTCAAGGTCCCTTCCAGTTCTAGGAGATAGGCAGTCTCCATTATTATATTATGTATTCCCTGATTCAAGACCTTCATCCTAGGCCTCTGACTCCCATCTATCTAACTACCTACTCCTCTACTGCCCCATCCACCCACCCACGGTTAAGCCAGGACCCAGTAGAGTCTACGGAAACATTCCCATTTCTTCCACTAAGCTTTGGATCTGGCCTCTAGCCTATAGTATTTGAGTATTCACTTAAGAAGTCTTGTCCTGGATCTCACTGGCTAGTAAATTTTGTCAGCATATTTCTTTAGTAAACTGCTAAGATAAATGGGAGAAGGTCAAACAGAAGTCTAATGGGATGCTCTACACCCATGGTGGGCAGCCGGCAGCCCAAGGACCACATGCAGCCCATCGGGGTTCTAATCGGGATTCTAGGTGTGACTCACAAGACATTTTGTTTACCATTGGTCAAGTACAGGGTTGCCAGATTCTGCTGGTTTCGGAGTAGTTTTCTTTCTACCAGTATTGCTAAAGTGGCATGCACGTAAAGCCAGGGCACATGACATGACATACATTCTGATTGCACACAGCATTTCCTGCCTTGAGGGCGGGGGGCTGGACTCGATGACCTCTCGAGGTCCCTTCCAGTCCTATTATTCTATGACTGTGAAAGCCGGGTGTTCCCTCTGCATCCAGTCAAAGCCTTGCTACACTTCAGTTGGCACAGCCCTGCAAATTCTAGGTACGCCAGCGCAGTTCACAAAACTACCCTGTCCCGGGAGACCACCTTGGTCATGACAATCTTGCAAACCACTGAGATGAAGAAGGGCCACTCCTGTGGCCCACTCACTAGCCTTGGTTGCCTGTTGCTGCTCTACACTCTCACTTGGGTGCTTTAGAAAGAATGCAGGAGGCCCTGCCGGCACCATGAAGCAATAAGAGCCAAAGCTGAACAGCACCTGGAAACTTCTGAAACTCCCTGAAAAGAAATTAGAGCAAAATGAGGGCCAGGTGCAGGCTCAGATTCTTCACATTCTTCAGCTGCAGGAAAGACAAGAGGACAACAATCTAATCTCTTTTTCTTGGAAGTAATGGTTGCCAGAGACACAGTGGAGCAGCTGAAGACTCCAGATGATCCTATCTACATAGAAAGAGCCCACAGGGATATTATCAGGAGTCAGTGTGAAATACCAGAATTGCATGGACAAGTTATTGACAGTGCAATGGGTTCTAGAGAGATAAAGACCGGGTGCATGAAGGGTAGAGGGAGAGACTGCTCTATACAGACCTTTGTCCCATCACACAGAGCAAAAGCATTTGCCACTGCCTGTCAAATAGAACCTGACAAGTAGAAACATGCAGATGTCCCTTGTACATCCACAAAGCAGAGTGCTTGAATGGACTGAACCGAATAACCTCTTCTCTCATGCTGAATCATATGGAGAACTGTTCAGTAAACTTGACAGGGAGGATTCCTCCATAAATCCACTTTAAAAACGCAGAGGCTGTTATGCTGGTAGATCACTCAAGATATGGCCGTGAACTTTTGCTGTTGGTTATAGAAATGTGCATTTTTCTGCCTGTCTGACTCATCCATCTATGAATCCATTTGTTTAAGAACTCCTCCTAAACAATAAGAGCTAGGACCACCACATTGGATATGCAGTCTCCTCTTATCATAACTTAAAGCAAGGTAAGTGTTTGGTTGCACCAGGACAATGGGATGTGCCTGGAATTCAATTGTTTCTCATAAAATGTCAAATGACCACAGGGGGGCAGCAAAGGCCAGAGATGGGGACCAGGACAGCTTTAACCCCATTTGACCAGCAGGGGGCAGATGTGGAGTAAGGGAACAGCTATCTACTATATATTTCAGATAGTTTGTCTGTTTGTTGTGTGTCTTGCTGGCTTAAGCTTGTGGAGCTCGCACAATGGGCTAAATATACTAGTGCCCAGCCTATGAGACTTTCCCCCACTGTCAGGTTTCAGAGTCCAGTTTCTAGCCCAAGCAGGAAGAGCTATGCTGCTGGTTTTAATCCTGTAGTGTGAACCTCAGACAACTGACCCAGGCTCAAGACGCCCACAAAAACCTGTCTGCTGGTCATGCCTCAGAAGGTGATGTACTACAATTGTTCCTCTTCCCCTTCCTTCTCTCTCTACTCCCTTGCTCTTCTAACTCCCCTGTTCCTGCCACCCGACCTCCTTCCCAATTTACAAAAAGACACAGCAAAACACACAGCTAACAAAGCAGAGGCACTTCCTCCCTGTATACCTCTGCTTCTCTGTTATATCCTCATCCCCATACCCTGTAGGTGCACTTTTACTGCAGTTCCAAAAGCAACATTTGCTGAATTTCCTAAAGTTCTGGCCTCATCCTCATGCCATTCATCTGCTTTGTGTCTTCTAGGCTCAGACTCCCAAAGTACTGAGGCATGTGCTTAACATTTAGCACATACCTTAATGCCCTTGGCGTCAAAAGAATTTAAGCAGGTGCTTAAAATTAGGCATGCGCTTAAGAGCTTTCTCTGATTAGGCTGCTCTTCCTGACTCAGAGAGTCTTAGCTTGTAAGCAGGGTGTATCTCTTCTCTTTGTTGGCACAGTTCATAGCACAATGAGATCCAAATCCCCATCCGGATATGTGACTTACAACAGCAATACAAATGATGTTATTATATTCATAGTGAAATGTAAAGCTTCCTATTCTGTTTCTCTCATTAGCTTCCGGCACGGTGCTTCTAGAAAATATTACCTGCAATGTGTTTTATAAATGGAAATGGGAAACACAGGTTCAAGTTAGCTTTGGAAAGTTGCATAGTCCATTGATTTCCTGTGTTTGGTTTGGATAGTTTGCTATGTTTGCATGCAAAAACCTTCTCCTGTGAAATCCAATTGGTGTATTGATTTTCAATTGAACACCCTGTGCATTGTGGTTCATGCAAATTATTCATCAAAGCCAGCCATAACTCACCTTACTATTGACAAAATCTTCAGACATGAAAGCATTTAGCTCTAAGAAATACTTGAGCAGAGCGATGTTCCCATCCTGTACTGTGTAATGAAGTACCGTCTTGTTGCTTTTAACATCCTGTTAAAAAACAACAACAAAGCTTTTGCAAAAGAGCATGTTATGTAAGTAAGTAGGCCAGAAAAGACAAAGGGCTAGCTTCTCAATTGAGGTAAATCAGAAGATCTCCACTAACTTCTGGAGAATTATACTGATTCAGGGATTTGGCCCTGACTATGCAACAGTAACGTACTTGTAGAATAAAGTATCTGAAAGCCCCCGGATTCTTATCCCATGCATCACTGGACAACATTTCAAGATTGTGAGGTTCCTTATTTCACTTGGTAATATAGCAACAGCACATCTCTGCTACAATTACTGTGATATCAACTCAGTACTGACATCCCATTCAGCTTATATATACAAAAATCTCTTTCACAAAAGGGTCCTGTAAGAATTACCTCTGTTATCATGTAATACTTTGTGTACCATGAAAGGAGGAGACGAATGCAGAGAGGAAAAGTGAGGGACTAGGAAATTCCCCCTCAAATAAATAAACAAAAACAATACCGATTGTTTATATACTATTTGAAATAGGGTTTTTGTGGTGTGTAAGTGATGCAAAGCACTCATGTTGGACAGGCGTAAATTTTGCTCTGCTTTAAGATTGTGAAAAGAAGATTTTAATAAATAATAAAAGAAAGACAAGAAGAATGCAGCCACAAATGTGTGCCTTTTGCTATAGGACAGCCTGGTTAGGAATACTTTAAGGCTACGTCTACACTGCAGGGTTTATGCACAAGAAGTCTTTTGCAGAAGAGATCTTGTGCAAAAACTTCTTGTGCAAAAGTGCATCTAGACCTCAAAGCGCATTGCTTTTGTGATGCACTTTTGTGCAAGAGAGCGTCCACACTGCATGGACGCTCTTGAACAAGAAAGCTCTGGTGGCCATTCACAGAAAGGCCATCAGAGCACCTGTGCTTTTTCGGATAGGCTCTATTTGTGCAAGAAACCCCTGCAGAGCATCCAGACATGCCTTTTTGCGCAAGAGCTGTGGTGCAAAAAGGAGTTATGCCTCGTGGGGAGAGGAATAACTGTACCGCAAACCCCCTTCTTTTCTGCTGATTTATTTGCACAAAAGCACACATGAGGTGTAAACGCTCCGCCGGTTTTTGCACAAAAATGGTAATTTTTGCGCAAAAACCTTGTAGTGTAGATGTCTCTGAAATACTGCACGTGACATGGCTGCATCACACTCTATGAAATCTGTGATACTGATTTGCAAAATTTTGCGCTTACATCTCAACTTGTTGGTATCTGGGCATCTCATAACCATCCCAGTCTTCCCTACTTTTATTACTATTTGCTTTAAGTATGTGAAGTAGAGTTTGTTGAAAAACAGGTTGTTGGCGCTGCAATCATTTAATGCCCGAGCTTTTTCAGGGACAATTTTCAGCCAGCTCTAGCAAAACATAACCAGAACCTTCTGAGGCATGACCAGCAGACAAGTTCTTGTGGACATCCCCACAGAGGAATACCCTAAAGAGGGATTTATTTGAAGGAGGATCGCACACTGGCTGCATGGATAATATTCAGAATTTTTTTTGCATTGGGGTTCAGTGCCCCATTTACACACACACTAAAATGGCATTAACGGCTAGAACTGACAGAATTGTTACATTAAAACAAGTCCTGCTGTGAGTGCAGGAGAGTGGTCTAGATGACCTCTCAAGGTCCCTTCTAGTCCTATGATTCTGTGATTCTAGAATGGGACTCTACTTTTGGAGACATCCATTCTGCCTCTGTTTCCTCCTCTCCTCCCCCTCCTCCATCCTGCTGCCACATTACTGCGTAACTAAAAACAAAAATGTTCACTCCTTACTCGGCTGTAGATAGAGGCTCCCATCTGCACCAGAAGGTGAATACATGATAGCACCTCTCCGCTTTGGTACTGAAGTTCTTTCTTCCGTTCTTCTGTTAGTGTAAGGTGACATTGCTGCTCTCGGAACAGGGAATTATGGGACAGAACAGCGCAGTGAAGGGGAGTGTGGCCTTAAAAAAACAAAGAAAAGAGGTTGAAATGGTTTCAATAAAATGTTGGTTTAAATAATGGGGAAAATAAATAAATATTTGGCCCTGTTAATCCTCCATGACATCACAGTTATGAGAAAAGCGGTTTCCTGAAACACACAAATAACCTGAGGTGCCCCAAAGACATACTGGCCTCAAGGAAGGGGGAACCAACAGAATGAGTCTCTAACCCAGATTTGAAATGCCTGTTGCACCAGGAAGCCAAAGTGAATCTGTATATGTTGAGAAGTGTTAACTCCACAAGTTGTTCTGGGAGACCAGGTAGGTAAGCGAATATCTTCATTAGATCAACTTCCGCTGGCGAAAGAGAAAATCTTTCGAGATCTCCAGAACTCTTCGTCAGGTCTTTGCGTAAGCTTGAAAGTTTGTCTCTCTCTCTCTCTAACAGAAATTGGTTCAATAAAATATATTGCTTCACTCAACCTGGTCTCTTTAAAATTCTGGGACCAACACTGCAGAATATTGTATCCTGGCTACAATACTGCCAACAACAATGTAAGTTGTTCTGTTAACTCAGAGCTCCCTCTTTTGTCTGTTTCATCTATGTGCAGCATCTTCTCTTAAAGCAGACTGAGTCTTTAGACTGTCTTATAACTGGCTTATACAGCATCTGGCACACGGGGCCTTGAACTGTGACTGGGCTTTTCGGCATTACCATTGTACATAAATAGTTATCATTGTCAGTCATGTGCACTGTCTCTGAATCTATGCCTCATTCATGGAGATTAGGTTCATCAATGGCTATTAGCCAGGATGGGTAGGAATGGTGTTCGTAGCCTCTGTTTCTCTGGAGGTGGGTGACAGGGGAGGGATCACGTTAGGATTACCTGTTGTGTTCCCTCCCTCTGGGGCATCTGGCATTGGCCACTGTCGGCAGACAGGATACTGGGCTGGATGGACTTTTGGTCTGACCCAGTATGGTCGTTTTTATGATCTTATTCTTAACTTTTTCCCCAATGTCATTACCTCTATTCTGAGAGAATTCAGGGCATATTTTCGAACATAAGAACGGCCGTACTGGGTCAGACCAAAGGTCCATCTAGCCCAGTATCCTGTCTTCCGACAGTGGCCAGCACCAGGTGTCCCAGAGAGGGTGGACCGAAGACAATGATCAAGCGATTTGTCTCCTGCCATCCCTCTCCAGCCTCTGACAGAGGCCAGGGATACCATTCCTACCCCCTGGCTAATAGCCTTTTATGGACCTAACCTCCATGAAATTATCTAGCTTCTTTTTAAACTCTATAATAGTCCTAGCCTTCACAGCCTCCTCTGGCAAGGAGTTCCACAGGTTGACTACACGCTGTGTGAAGAACTTTCTTTTATTAGTTTTAAACCTGCTACCCATTAATTTCATTTGGTGTCTCTAGTTCTTCTATTATGGGAACTAATAAATAACTTTTCTTTATCCACCCTCTCCACACCACTCATGATTTTATATACCTCTATCATATCCCCCCTCAGTCTTCTCTTTTCTAAACTGAAGAGTCCCAGTCGCTTTAACCTCTCTTCATATGGGACCCGTTCCAAACCTTTAATCATTTTAGTTGCCCTTTTCTGAACCCTTTCCAAGGCTAAAATATCTTTTTTGAGGTGAAGAGACCACATCTGTACACAGTATTCAAGATGTGGGCGTACCATAGTTTTATACAGGGGCAGTAAGATATTCTGTGTCTTATTTTCTATCCCTTTCTTAATAATTCCTAGCATCCTATTTGCCTTTTTGACCGCCGCTGTACTCTGTGTGGAAGTTTTCAGAGAACTGTCCACGATAACTCCAAGAGCTCTTTCCTGATTTGTCATAGCTATATTAGCCCCCATCATACTGTACCTATAGTTGGGGTTATTTTTCCCGATGTGCATTACTTTACACTTATCCACATTAAATTTCATTTGCCATTTTGTTGTCCAATCACTCAGTTTGCTTCTGTCTTGACTACCCTAAGCAGTTTTGTATCATCTGCAAACTTTACCACCTCACTGCTTACCCCTTTTCTCCAGATCATTTATGAATAAGTTGAAAAGGATTGGATTTTCTGTGTACATTTAACTCAAAGAAATGAATCGCAAATTGGTTGCGAGCATGATTCATGATTAGAGACTCTAAACCTTAGAACCCCGTTATGTTATATATTATACAGGATTTTGCTCTCCATTATGGTCCCAATTCAGGAAAACATCCCTATTCAGGAAGGGGACATAAGCATGTGCCTAGCGTTAAGCACGTATTTAGGTACCATTGAATTCAATAGCTTAAGTGCTTTCCTGAAACAGAGCCTATGAAGCCAACACTCTTCTTGATAGGCTGTGTCTACACTGGCGCATTCTTATGCGAAAACGGCCGCTCTTGTGCAAAAACATGCCACCTGTCTACACTGGCCGTGCGTTCTTACGCAAGTAAACTGACATTGTACTGTAGAAAATCAGGGCTTCTTGTGCGAGAACTCTGACTCTCCCTCTCAGGAAGAAGCCATCTTGCGCAAGAGCTCTTCCAGAAGAGGCCAGTGTAGACAGGCAACATGAATTTCTTGCACAAGAAGCCCCTATGGTTAAAATGGCCATCAGAGCTTTCTTGCGCAATAGAGCATCTACACTGGCATGGATGCTCTTGCGCAAAAGCACATGCCAGTGTAGACGCTCTCTTGTGGAAGAGTTTTTGCACAAGAACTCTTCCGCAAAAGAGTTCTGGTGCAAGAAGCTGCCAATGTAGACGTAGGCATAGAGTTTTGGGTGTACAAGACTTTGAATTTAAATATCTGGCCTCTAATTATATATTATAATTATTATTTGCTGTATTATGGTAGCCATGTTGGTCCCAGATCTTAGAGATACAAGGTGAGTGAGTTAATATCTTTTATTGGCCTAACCTCTCTCTGGGGGCGAAGGAGACAAAGTTTTCAAGCTTACACAGAGCTTTTCTTTAAGTCAGAAACTTTCAAGGTTTTCTTTTTCTGACCTAAACAGCTCTTCATGAGATTGAAAGCTTCTCTCTTTCACCAATAGAGATTGGTCCAGGAAAAAATATTACCTCATCCACCATGTCTCTCTGTTATAATTATTAGTCATTATTATGATGCCACCATAAAAATATGTAAAACCAAAATATGAAAGGGTTAAAACTCAAACCATCTTACCTTCAAAATCCTTCATTTCTAAATCGTGGGGGAAATCTAATGACATTAGAACCTAGAGGTGACAAAAACACAGGCGAATTTAAATTCAACAGAACAACAAAACATTGTAAGCAAAAACCACTCAAAGCATCCATAAACATTTGTAACATTCCCTTTGTCAACCGATTGGCAGGACTCTTTGTTGATGCCAGAATACAGAGTAATCCAATTATGCGTTCATGCACTGAGTTTCCAGATTGGAGTTAGCAATCTTTTCAAACTTCTCAATGTCCCAACTGTAAAACTATAGTTGGTTCTTTATTTCATCTTGTGTAGGAATTTTTTTCAGGTGCTAAAGGTGGCTGGAGTAAGAGAAAAAACAGCATTGTGCACATTTTCTGTTTCTTTATGATGGATACAGAAGGCCTGACTTGCTTTTTGTGCAGCATAAGGGCTTCTTACTGCTTGTGTTTTAATTGGTAATATCAGTACTTTTGATGATCAGAACTTACCCATTTTTGATGGATGTTTGGTTGGAGATTGCAGAATTGTGGATTGGCAGTTTTCTCAATCCTTAATTGAAGGGATACTGTTTGGGTTGAATCATTAACACATAGAGTTCTTCTTTTTGTCACATATAAGGAATTTGTGTTTAAAATATGTTTAATTCAAATAACTTTACATAGTAATAATTATAATGATAACCTGTACAGCAGGAGCAATGAAAAGCTGCAGGCAGATAGATAGGGGCCCTTTCAGACTATGCGCTGTATGTACACATAATGGCTGTGTCTACACTGGCCACTTATTCCAGAAAATCAGCTGCTTTTCTGGAATAACTTGCCAGCTGTCTACACTGGCCCCTTGAATTTCCGGAAAAGCACTGACGATCTACTGTAAGAAATCAGCCGCTTTTCCAGAAATACTATGCTGCTCCCGTTCGGGCAAAAGTCCTTTTTTCGGAAAACTGTTCTGGAAAAGGGCCAGTGTAGACAGCACAGTAGTGTTTTCTTCAAAAAAGCCCCAATTGCAAAAATGGTGATCGGGGCTTTTTTGCGGAAAAGCGCATCTAGATTAGCCACAGACGCTTTTCCAGAAAAAGTGCTTTTCCGGAAAAGCATCCTGCCAATGTAGACAAGCTTTTTCCAGAAATACTTATAACAGAAAACTGTTCCGTTTTAAGCATTTCCGGAAAAGGGTGCCAGTGTAGACGTAGCCAATGGGTTTACTCTGCAGGAAGAGAGATTTAGGTTATATGTTCAAAAAAACTTTCTAACTTCAATAAGCTCTGGAGTAGGCTTCCAAGGGAGGTCGTGGATGCCCAATCACTGGAAGTTTTCAAGAACAGGCCTGACAATCACCTGTCCGGGATGGTCTAGGTTTACTTGGTCCAGCTAGTGCAGGGAGCTGACTTGAAGACCTTCTAAGGTCCGTGCCAGCCTCATACATTTCTATGAGTCTATGATACTAGAAAGAAAAATCTTTCCCCTAAAGGGCTTGCAGCCTGAAAGTCACTATTGGGAATGACTGTCTGACCAGTTAGCTCCTCAAATCACCTGGGTAAATATGGGTTCCCTTCAAATCGTGGTGATATCACAATCCCACTGGATCATAGAATTTATCAGAAAAAAACAAAGAGAAAAGATTTAATTTCTGGGGGTGTGTCTAGACTACATGCCTCCTTCGACGGAGGCATGTAGATTAGCCA